CAGGGGCCGCGTCCCCACGGGGCTGACTGCGGCAGCACGGACCTGCGCTCGCGGGGGTCTGGGGCCGAGTGCACCCTGCCCCCCGCCCCCGACTCTGGCTCAGCCTCTTGGTGCCCAGCCCCAAAGGTCGTGACCCGCAAGGCCACAGTGCTCCCACCCCCAGGAATCTGGGGCTCTGGCGGCCTGCAAGCCTCCCTGCGCCCAGGCTGCGCTGGCCAGGCCAGAGGCGACAGCAGAGTACGGCGGCCGGGAGCGCCCAGCCCCGGCACGGGCTCTTGCCGTAGCCCCGGGCCATGCCGGCGGCTCCCCTCAGTGCAGCCCTCGGCCAGCAGGCCCCGGTCGCCCCAAGATGCTCGGCCACCGCCAGGGCTGCTCCTCACCGGCCAGCAGACGTCGCCCCAGGCGGTGGGCAACTCCCAGGCGTGTGCACCACGCGTGTGCACCCCCATGTGGTCGGTGTGGGGTGGGAGTGTGGGGCGGTGTTTGCCCCCAGTTACCAACATGAACCCACCCCCGTAAGGCAGTCGACCCCGGGCTCCCTGCTGGACCCTCTCCCAAGCCCACGGTACAGAGAAAGCGGGGGGCGGAGCTCGGCCCGATGGCCTCGGGCCCCCCAAGCACACCTGTGTGGCCCACTGGACGGCAGCCGTTCACGGCGGGGGTGGGGCCGCGGGGCTCGGGCACTCCCCGGCCTTCTGGGGGCGCCTTCTCCTCTGCTTCCTGCTGTGCCTCTGGCTTTCTCCTCTTTTTCCTTTTCCTCGGCGGCGGCGCCGTGGCGTCGGGCGGGGCGCCGTTAGAGGGAGAGCAGATCCTGGGGGGTCAGGGCAGCCGTCGGTCAGCACAAAGGGTACCCCAAACCTCAACTAAGCTGCCGCTCGGCAAAGCACCCCTGCGCCCAACGAGGGGCAGCAGCCTGGGCCCCGCAGCGGGGCCTGGGGGTGCTCCCTGCCACCTGCCACCCGGCACTCAGCAGGGGACAGCGCAGGCCGCACCCCTCCCCAGCCCAGGGCCCCGCGAGCTGGGTGGGGTAATGGAGAGCCTGAGACCGGGAGGCCGCCCCGCCAGCTCGCTGTACCCGATACCCGCCCGGCGCAGCGCCCCCTGCCCACCTGTGCCACGGAAGGCCCCGGGGGGGGCGGCCTCCCTCGCGGAGGCCCTCTGCGCCCTCCTGCTGCTGCTCGCGGCTCCCGGGGCGGCCGTTCACCTGGGGCTGCTGTCCACCCTTGTCCTCCAGCCGGCCCGCCGGCGGCTCTGCCCGGCCTCCTCCTCCACGCCCCGGGCTCCTGGACCCCTCGTGCGGCGGGGAGGCGCCCGCCTCCTCCACGCGCTTCCGCTTCTTCCTCCTCTTCTTCCTGGCGGGGCCTGCGGCTGCTGCCCACGACTCCGGGCCTGGGCCTGGCCCTGGGATCTCGGCCGAGTGGCTCTTCTCCCTCTTCTCACAGGGGCTCTGCTGGTGCTGACCGGCCTCTTGCAGCTGGTGTGGAGGCGACCTGAAGCCCCCATTCACCTGAGGCAGGGGGG